CTTTCGAACTCAAGTGACTGTTGTTTGCAGAAAAAATTATTTCTTGTATACTGAAATAAACACTTCATTCTTAAGTTTTGTTTATAATAATTAGAGCTATTACAGTTTCTTTTACGTACACTTTCAGGATACCAGTGTTTGCTGACTCTATGTTGCTCTGGCCTATGCCTCTTCTCTGAGTGCAGACTGAAACGGGGTTATTATGCATGCATTCCTGCAACAGTGCGTTCGTACGCCCGCGTGCTGCAGTACACGAGGTGAGCCAATACTCCCACGAGCAGACGACACTCCGCTGGCGCTCCGGATTTCCGTATAAGGCTTTGCAGTCACAATAGGTAGCGCGGTCAATTTCAGGAAAGGTTCATTGAGCACATTAAGACAACCTACCACACTAGCAGTTGAACTTACAGTGTTTGAGGCGGTATCTAGAAATACAATCACCAAATATACATGGCATTTCCCTCGATTACTTTTTGTGCGGACATTGGACATTTGCAAACTTAAAATTTGCGGCCAACTGAATATGGCTGTGACTTACTTTCTGAGTTGTTATAATCTGCTGATTCGCTACGTCAGCATCAGGAAGGCACTAAAGCAAGAGCGTAAGTATTCAGACCAGCTTCAGACCGACTATATCGCGCGAAAAAGAGACAGTTATTGATTAATATTTTGAACATTTTTGAACATTCACCCAGCCCATTATTCTTCATCGTATATTCCCGTAATGCCTTGGTACATGTTAATGCAAATTATAAAAAAGCGCTAATGCCAAAAAAGATGCGGAATAATTCGAGCTATGAATTGTGATAGGGAACATAATGACTGTACAGGCCCATCAAGGAGCGAAAATTGGTTTTTTAGAACTTAAAAAAGACATTGATTTTATCTTTTTACCATGCAAGTATGCTTCTGATATAACTCAACCCAGTAGAGTAGGGTGGGGTAAAATGCGAGACAAATTTTAAAAAGGTGAACACCAATAAACATCAATGCAAAAACTTTCCTTTGGGTACAAGATATGTGCTACAAAAATATTACCACGTTGCTACTATTAAAAATATTTCAAAAATAAGTTTTAAAAACGCTCAGGCGTCTCATTCTGCCCCAACCTGCGGGGCACAAGGAGACGCTGCGTGCGGAAAAAAGAGACGCTGTGAAAAAAATTGATCCCTGCAGATTTTGTAATAAAAAGACTGCTAATTCACTCGGGGGGCCCTCCCGCAACCTAATAGAGCCCAAGCCTTGGACTTCACGCATTGAATCCAGACAGAACGTGGTGTTCTGTTGCTCGAAAACTCCTTGTAGATAAAACGCTACCAGTAATTCCTTGTGCTAATGTTGTATTTTAATTGTTGAACGCTTGAAACTCATTGACTTATACATCAATTGGACTCCAGATACGTTCCGACGTATCTCTTTGCCTATTTTTGCCGTTTTGATGCAGATTCTCAGGCATTTCATGGCTTTCAACTTTGTTTGATGGGTTTTGCCAGATAAAGACTTTAAAACTGTGGTAAATTTAGATTTAGAACATTAGTTTTTTTTGATGGGGTTATTGAAGAAATGTTGTTAAAACTCAATCACTATACGTGTATGTGAACGACTTGACTTTGAGACTCCGTCATTTTTTTATGCATCTCTTGCGAGCATTCTTGGAAACACGGAAAAACCTCGATGCAGCGCGAACAAATAGAGTGATGTTCTGAATGGCAATCAGCGCTTTTTCATGTCACTTTTCTCCCAGGAAGCTTCATAATGTCACAGGGTCGTGACGTCGAATAAAGCAGAGACTGTACGTCAAAGATGAAACTGTTCATTTGGACTGAACTTCTGGTCAATTCGATGAACGTCTGATTACAGCGATGAACATTGGCACTGATACCGGCGAACAGAGCGTTGGCCGTCAATCAACTGAGAAACGGTGAAGCGCGTTGGCTATGTATGCAAGTGCCATTGAATATTCCAGTCCTATTACTGGTCACCGCGCAAGCTCTAGAATCCTCTAAGAGTTTGTGTCTTGCGCGCAATAATAACAGAATAATCTACAATAATCGCGAACCTACGAGAACATTCAGGCGCAGTTTGCGCTAAGCATTCCCGACAGGCTTGGCGCAAAAACGGATTGAAAGACGAGGAAAAATAAGGAACCCACGTGGCAATATGAAATACTGTTGCGTTTACAAACCTTCCTAAACTAAAAAAATTATATATAACAATTGTAAGTTAATGGTTCAAATATTAAGACACTCTCTAAGGCAATTGGATGCGTGTTCACCTCGATTTGCTCTTTTCAGTTGCCAGAATTAAAAAAAAACAAAATATCCGCTTTCCCCTAGCCACAACACAAACAAGGCATTTGGTGCTATGTAGTTTGTATTCTAAAGTAACAAAATAGTCATTTATGTTGCTGCACTGATGCAGGAGTACTTTAATGCAAGGATCCAAAAACTTGGCCAAGCGGAATTTACACCCCCCCCCCTTCTCAACGGGTCACGAACAATCTCACACCAGCCGCGTATTTTTCCGTACGCAATCATCGACTTTTACACTTTAAAGAAAAAAACAGCACTCATTGCTGAAAAAAGAAAAAAAAAATAGTGTTTGTGTCACCTAATGATGATATGTGGGGTTTAGCGTCCCAAAATCATTATATTATTATGAGAGACGCCGTAGTGGAGGACTCCGAAAATTTAGACCACCTGGGGTTCTTTAACGTGCACCCAAATCTGAGCGCATGGGCCTACAAAATTTCCGCCTCCATCGGAAATGCAGTCATCGCAGCCGGGATTTGAACCCACGCCCTGCGGGTCAGCAGCCGAGTACTTTAGCTACTAGACCACCGCGGCGGGGCGTTTGTGTCACCTACAGAGACCGGTAAAATCAAAATGTCGCGTTTTTCACTGTGTCTCATTTTACCCCTCCTTACCCTACTTAGACAAAAATTATGCTAGTCAGACAAAAATACTTTTAAACGAAAGGGTCAGACCGATTGATCAGAGGGCAAGGCCTAACTTACGTAACCTCATAACCACTTGCAGAAGTGCAACAAGAGTACAGCACTATTATAATGCAGCGCAGTAACTTCTTGCCAATGGTCCAACTCGGTGTGTCAATGATGAGGCTGCTCGGCTGCTGACTTAAATGTAGAGGGTTCGATAGCGGCCGTGGCTGTAATATATAAGTGGAGCTGGAACAGTGGAAGCCCATACACTGTGCAATGCCATTGCGCGTTAAAAAAGGCCAGATGGTCAGAATTTCCGGAGCCCTCCGCTACAGCGTCTCTCATAATCCTATCGTGGTTTTGGAATTTAGAACTCCCCATATTATTATTACCAGCCAATATCGCATGGAAAATCAAAGCGTCGATTCGAGCATAGTGCATCTGTCACGCCCTTAGTTGACGCACATGATTCAAGTGACGCTAACGCCTCACTCCCGGGCGAGCATGAAGCGAGTGATTTTGGGGCCTGATAGAAAATTCCTCTTCAAGCTCGTTGAGGCGTATTCAGTGACGTCACTCATAAATGAAAACTAAGGGCGTGATAATTACTGTTCTCGCAGTTTGTTCCGCTTTGCTCTTTTGTCCTAGTCTAAGTGGCCGGAATTTCGCCTCAGAAAATTAAAAAGAATGACAGCAGTACAGACATTGTGAACTTCTGTGAGCTGTTACTAGTCTCTCTTACTCTACTCTGGTGCTACTTTTATAGCAATATTCTTTGGTGTAAAAGGTAAATATGCAAATATACACATTATCTCAGGTGGTTTTCAGATGCACGTATGTGTTCACACAGATACAAAAAAGAATATTTGTATATTACCACAATTCATTTATATCATAAAAATAATAATAAACAGGTATAGTTTACCGTTAGCGTGATAGTGGGCTTTAAGGGTGTAGCGTTAACGTGCATCAAACGTTCGTTGCCGACAGCGGAATAGCGTTTACGTGGTTTACGTGCCCCAACTGGGATGGTGCCGCCATACATCGAACATCGAAGAACTAATAAGTTAAAGAACAGTGAGAACTAAAGAAAACGAGAATATTTGACTGTGTCGCAGCTAGAAGCAATGCTACAAGTTTATTTTAGTGGTAATAAAAGTACGTTAATATAAACCACGCACAAAATGCGAAAACACTTATGTTTCCGATTTGTTCCCATAGACCTTTTAATTAGGCCTAGAGACGTTAAAAACAGTTTATCTCCAAATTTACGCCAACTTATTCGTAATACTCGGTCATCAAAGCTACCTGAAGGCAGGCCAAGCTATTTTAAAGAGTCGTTTTTTGCGAATGAGGTGAATGTTTCAACAACAAAAACAACAACGCCAACACGTTAACGTTAAATATGAAAAATAGCGTGCGTACGGTAAGTGGTAAGGGGTGACATACGCCTCTGCCTGCGCGCACAATGATCCCGCTATCACGGTAAGCCCGCTATCCCGCTAAGCGCGGTATGTTGACGAGATCGCCGCAGTGAAGGGCTTCCGAAATTTTGATCAGCTGGTGTTTTTTATTATGCCACGTGACGTCACACAGTACATGGTCCTCTACCTATTCGACTTCATCAAAATGCGACCGCCGCTGCACTAGGTATATCATATGCGTAACAGAGATTAGCGAGGCCATTAGAAACAAGCTAATTTGGTGCGAATACTTAATTTCAGGAGCTGTCTATTGTAAACCTTGAAACTATATTTGCCTGTAAATTGACAATGCTTTTTGTATAAGGTAACGTTGCAAAAGTCTTTTGACTAAATGAAGCCGCAAACAGTCCACAAGAATAAAAAGAAATATTGACTCGCGTTGGTTTGACAATGCCGAGACTCGTATGCCGTTAGAGCAACATTTTCACCGTCAAGCGGATATTGCGGCACGTTACATTCATGAAAACGCTGGGGGGTATGGTAATGTCCGTGAACGGCTATGGCTCAAAAGATTGGCTTTCAATAACTGTTGCTGTTTGAAGTGAAACGTTCTTATTCCTGCAATGCGTTCCCACCTGTAAACACCAGGATGAGGAAGGTGACGATGACCGTTGGAATCATCATTGCGTTTTGACGTGTAGACCTTGCCTCGCTTCTCTCTGACCAGATTACGGGCGTTCTTCGGTCGCAGCTGCTCTCTTGTCGACCCTCTTCTGCGGCAACGCGTTGGGTCGCACTCGTAATTTCTAGATAACGCCCAGGCACGATTGTACATATATACACGCGAGCGCAGGGCGATATGGATGAGAGGCATTCGCGGTGACGTGCAACCAATTGATAAGAAACTTTGCCGTTGCGCTCAAGCGTCATACCTCATCGCTAAATACGTTGGCTCCACAATAGGCAATCTTTTAATTAACACGCGACTTTGGTATGGAGTGTGTGAACTATCAGGTCAAATTAGAGGGCACATTTGTGCATCTTGAAATACTTACTCTGAAATACATCTCTGAAATACTCTGAAATACATGAAGTGCATCTTTACTCTGAAACAGTTTTCAAAAAACTTTTGGGTTACTTTTCAGCATGTTAGCAAGTGCAGTGTTAAAAATTAATGCCTAGAGGCTTTTAGCACTACTTCTAAATTTCTTGAAAGCTGCATTCTCATAAGCGTCCCATTTATGTTGACATTGCGAATGCTTTTTATTGCGAAAAAGGCATTTTTCTTTTTGAGAAACACGGTTCAGTTATCTGTTGTATTATGGTGATTTGCTCTTTAAAAACATTTTATTGTAAATGAATTGATTGTATAGTTTGTTTTTCTCTTGAACATTTGTCAGTTCAATTCTAATGAACGGTTATCGAAGTTTACCAAAACTGATATAAAAATGCTGAAAGGGCCCTGTTAAACACATCTATGTTTCCTCTTCTGTTTTTCTAATTGTTTTAAAGCGGTTGTGCGCTGGCGACAATGACAGAGTCATGGAATAATGTAGAACGTTGTGATCACTTAGTTAGTCCTAGTAGTGAACTACACTAGAGGAGATCAGTAGATGACGTGAGTACCGAATCCAAAAGCGATGACGTAGTTTTTGTTACGCGTGTTGGTGAACTGATGGTCTCGTGCAAGTGGAAATAGGCGCATGATTCAATGAAACGATTAGCTTTGGATGAGGAAGGTGACAAAAATAGACATGATTCTGACCAACAGATACTTGGGAAATTGAAGTCACCGATGATATTATTTTCGGCCGCTGGAAACTGAGCTATCACTTGGTTGAGGCAATCGTACAGGTTTTCGGGAAATGACGGAGCGTTTGATGGAGCGTGGTAACAAACTTCGATGACAATCTTTTTGAAATATTACTCAGACAACACAATACAGGTTTAATATCACACTTTATTGGAAGAAAAAAGACTCGTAACACTTGCTAACAGCCAGCAGAGCACCCCCGCCTATCGTGTTAGCGTGGTGACATCGGTAAATGTTATACGATTTTTTGCATCTTAGTGTTCCAGAATTCCATTCTTAAGAATGTAGCCATGTTTCGGTTACAGAAATAATATCAGCTTCATAGTCATCTACTAGGCTGCACAGTTCACTGTTTTTCGACAAGTACATAAAGATGTTAGTTAGCAACGCTGCCAATTCTGATTTTTTTGATAGAGCACTTGCCTCTCACATCATGCTGTCGGCGTGCTGCCAAACCGCACGGCCGAACCTTAAATAACTTGTAGAAGACTCACTAGAATTAGTGACACTGTCAATCAGCGTACTTTCGTACACAGTGCCATCGTTGGCGTTGTAAGAGTAGCACCTACCATCGATTGCTAGGTTCTTATGTTTTAGCTTGACAAGCATTTTCAGAGATTTTGTATACTTGATAAGTTTTTTTCTTGCATGACGAGTTACTGCACCATATTCCTCACTGACGGCAATTCTGCTATCGTTAGGCTTTGCGCATTTCATAAGTTTTGCACTTTGATTTTGTACGATTCATAATTACCAATAAGTGGACGTGGCCTACTTGAGCTAAACCTACCAATACAATGTACACAGAATATGTGCTCTTGTGTAATACCGAGTGTCATCTTATTTGCGAGCAAGTCAAGAATTTTTTTATTGAGGCACTGTTTCTGCAGCGATATTTATATTGTTTAGAAAAAGTGTATTATTACAGCGAGAGGGGTCTTCGGCATCGTCTAACCGCGCTTGCATAGTAGCTGACTTTTTTGCCATGCGTCTATTTCACGAAGTTCGTCGACTTCACTGTGTATTTGTTGAAATTAGTTGTAGGATTTCTGCGCCCTCTAATGGTATGTAAGGTTTAACGTTCGAAAACCACGATATGATCATGAGAGATGCCGTAGTGGAGGGCTCCTGAAATTTTGACTACCTAGATTCTTTAACGTGCACCCAAATCTGAGCACACGGGCCTACAGCATTTCCGCCTCCGTAGGAAGTGGAGCCGCCGCGGCCGGGATTCGATCCCGTGACCTGCGGGTCAGCAGGTGAGTACCTTAGCCACTATACCGCCACGGCGGGGCCTTCTACGCCTTCTACGTTCACTCTGATATTACATTTGGCAATATACATGATTTGCTGTACTAATTTCAGCTCTGAAACAGTGTATATACCTGACTTTTGGTTGTATTGACCTCATAGAGACCGTTTATTTAGGTCATGCATTGTTTTTGAAACTTTGACAAGTGCCTCAGATTGCTGATCTTTTTGAGTACCGGCTTTACATCCAATGTCACTACACAGCATTAAAAGCAATGACTAAAAGAGTCGCACAATAGCTCCAGGGCATAGAAGCACGATCAAAAATCTATCATCGGATTTAAAGCAGGCGTATGCAAGCTGGGAAAAGCAACTCACCTGCAGGACGAAGGCATAGGTGCGTAAGCGTTTCATTCCAGACGTGTGTCTATGTCCACCGTCACTAGCGATCAACAGCAGCACTACGTGGAAGACGCATCTCTCCTCAAACCTCGGGCCTGTCTAAATTCGCTGTATCCGCAAATATAGTCTACCTATATCTTTGAAGGTGATGCGTTCTTTAATAGCAAGGGCTACTTGCTTATAGTTTGAGAGCAGTATATAAATATGAGTCATGAGAAAGCGTATTTTTGGGCTGTTATCAGTTATATTTTCGCGTAGCCACGCTGTTGCTTTTTTATACAGTGCATAGGTGAGTAGTGAAGCAGCCATGGGACAGGTACTTAGTGAGTATGGAGCATTTTCGCGGCACCCGTTCGTCCCTCGTCGTAGTCGTAGTGCGTAACCAGTCTTACGCTTTGATCTGCAAGGTGGTGCCGGTGGTAGATATCTCCTGTGCGTTATTGAACAATAAAAATTTGCAGCGTGCGCGCCAACTAAACGCCGAATTCTCCTGTCTCTCACTTCCAATTAGCAGCCACTCGCATGTACATTTAGCCCTATCTGACAAGGAAGGCTTGCTAGGTTATACTCCCTGGGTGTAACCTCCTTGGTTTTAGAAAGGTTTAGTGAACGTTGGGCCGCAGTGCCACGAATGCAGTGAACTAGTATATAGAACTAGAATGCAGTGAACTAGTACCATGAACTCGAGGTGGTTAGAGGTGGGAAGTGGACACGAAGCGCAAGCCGTAAGAAAGTGTGCGTGTGCCACCTCTAGTTTAGTCCTTGGAATGTCCGCTCGATGGCGGTGCTTCTATATACGGAATCTATGATGAAAATATGCGAGATGGTGGTACTTGCAGTGTTGGCTAGATGGACGAACGGACACACAGACGGATGCATGGACGGACGCACAGGTGGCTGCACGGACAGATGGACGCATGGACGGACGCAGGGGCGGATGCATGGACGAACGCAGGAACGGACACACAGATGCACGTGCGAACGCACGAACAGACGCACGCATGGACGGGTGGATGGACGCATGGACGCATGGAAGCAAGATTAAATGGCCGTACGGATGCTTCGCCCCACTCTCCATTTCACCCTGTGGATATGCTGCCCTATTTTTCTTTCTTCCCCCCACCTCTCGCTAAGTATTAGTGGTGGCCGGGATTAGCACGCATGCGCCCCGGTTTTCCTGCGCAAAGCCCGATCATTGCGCTGCTCTTGCGGTTACATTTAGAAATATAAATAGGCAGGTGTGATGGCTTTTTTTTGCACATTTGTTCGCAAGACATTTACATAGGTGTCATGAAACATGGATCTCTCCTGGACTTAGCAGGCAGTGTTGTCTCCGCCATTTTCTAGCACCTTATTGATGAATGTGGGCATTGATTGGTACAAAGATTTATTAACATCCGGTCGACCGCCCAGGTTTTCCCATTCTTGTACGATCGCTTGCCATAGGGTATCGGCCGTGCGCCCACGGTTTGCTCGTACGGGCAGTCACTTCTTCAACATACCCCAGAGATATTCTATGGGATTTAAGTAGGCGCCAAATGAAGGCCACTCAAGTTTGCAAGTTCTTCAAGCAATGTCTGCACGACACGTTCTTTATGTACGGTGCTGGGACAGTGTTAAAAAAAGTAGCAGCCATCGCTGAAGGAAGCATCCAGCGCATACGGAATGAGATGTGTGATGATGGCGTTGCAATAGCGTGATGTGGTGAAAGGACATTCCAGGCTCGGAAGGAAAGTCAGGCCGTCTTTGATAATCACCACACATCCACGAAACATCGTCCACTGGATAGAACATTCTGTGTTTAATTAGGCAGATATCTTCAAGCATACAATCAGGTTCCAGCGGCGCGTCTAAAAATGTTGTGATACTCTTGTAAATGAACTGTATACTAATATTACAGAGTTTGCAAAAGAAAAAGTGCGAATGTCATTAGATAGTACCGAAAGACTGACTAGCAGCTTTTAATTAGCTTCATATCATTACGGAAGAGAGACGCCCTATCGACGAGGCTGTGAATGAAATATATTTCAAACCAGCAGCAGCAGCGGCGTGACCGGTAGACCAGACACTGAGCGGAGACCGTTATTCGTCCTCTATATCAGGCACACACATGCATCGTCCCACAAAATGTCAACATGCGTGTAGAATAATCCCCAGCGGCAGAAGCGCCGTCTCGGCGCATCTAGATGTCAACGTCAGTGGGAGAGTGGTAAGGCTTCAAGCGTGCCACATGTACAATATTGGTGGTCTGTGGGGCAGTTGAAGGCGATGAGGCAGCAGGGGAATTTTCGTTTGTCGCAGGAGTAACCTCACAAAGGAC